TTTTTGAGGAACTGGGGATCGAACTCAGGCCCTTGCACTTGCCAGGGAAGCGCTTATTCCACTAAGCCATCTCCCCAACCCCAATAAACTCCCCTCCCCTTCCTCCATGTTCAAAGCCAGCAGGGCATACCCCTCTGCTACTCTCATGCTGCGGCCTTCCTAAGGCTTCTATTGCTTGCCCTGGGTTATTTCACCAGAATTGTCTCTCCTACTGAAATCTGCAATTCAATCCGATCTGGCAGGTCACTTTCGCCATCTAAGTATATAGATTTTGGGAATCAGGACATCTTTGAAAGATCATATTGCTCTGCCTACTGCACCCCTTAACAACACTCCCATTAATTTGATCACGTGTCCTCGCTGTCCTCGAAGTCTGCCTGCTCATCTTTATTATGCATCTAGAAAACATCTCCACCCTTCCTTCCTTCCTTCTACCCCCTGCCATCTAAACAAACTCTCACTGGCCTTCAAAGCTGGGTTGACATTGCAGTAACAGGCCAGGACCATTCCAGTACACTTCCCACTGGGTTCTGCAGCTCTTTTATTAGATTCTTTACTTGTTTATTAGATAATTTGTCAAGAAAGACCCTCTCTACTGTGTTCAAATAAAGTCCTTATTGATAGCTTATGCACGCCGAAGTTCCAACGTAGCCTTGCCCCCCCTCCCCCGGAAGATTCAACTGCAAAAATTTCAAAAAGGGAAGAGTTTAGAAAGGCCTTAAGGAAACCAAGAAAAGATGACAGAGCAGCCACAGTGGGGAGGAAGCACCTGAAGCAACAGGGGAAGAAACACCATGTCCACTGCTGGTTCTGAGGAGCTGGGCTATGGGACCGGAGCCGGGGCTGCAGGGAGGGGAAGGCAGCCAGGCCCAAGGTGACGTGCAGCCAGGGCTGGACAGGAAAAACAGCAATGCCTTTCCCTCTGCCTTGTAACACCAGGTCCTGCCTGGCCACTGGCCATATCCAAATGGTCAGATGCAGCCTTCCAGAGGACGAATGTCAGGACAGACAGTACGACAGAGTAAAGAGCACAGATCAACATCCAAAGGCATTGGGCGTAAGGCCCCGTGCCAAGGACTTCGCAGGCTGTACTTCATTGCAATGTAAAAACATAAAGGTTTCAAGCTATGATATGTGTCAGAGCTGAAGAGACCGAAGCCCTGACAAATGACGACCATTTGCCCAAAGCCACCTATAGAGAATAGCAAGTACTCAAGTCAGCCTTCAGCCCTCAGACTTCCTGCTCAAAAACCTGCTGACTGTTCATCACCTTTGTGCTTCCTGCTCTAAATGTGAAATCCCAACTTAGTTTTATAAAAGACTCTGATAAAGACCTAGCTGAAGACACAAGCACTGCTTCCGTGTTGTTTAGGCATGCAGTCAATGAGATGGTGACCTCCCCTGCCTTAAGCGTAAGTCACAGAATAGTTTCTGTTCATTAGAAAGATGACTGATCAAAATACTGTATCCAGGAATGTTTAAATTTTTAAAAAAATTCATTAGAAGACATACTGCTCAGCACTCGGGAGGCTGAGGCAGGAGGATCCCTGCGAGTCCAAGGCCAGCCTGGCCTACATAGTGAGTCCAGGCCAGCCTGAACCACATAGTGAGACTCTTGTCTCAAAGCAGCTACATAAATAATATACTGCCATTAATTTTCCTCAAAATATCCCTCCTGGATTCAAACACACTTTTATCATTCTTCTTTCTGAAGCATTTTTTTTTTTTTTTTTAATTTGGTAGAGTCCTGCTATACAGCTCAGACTCAGAGTGATCCTCCTGTCTCAGCCTCCCCAGCACTGGGATTAAAGGCATGCACCCTACACCCGGTTTCAGGGCTGGCATGGTGAGCCCAGGGTGGGACCAGCATGGCATGTGGTGCAGGGGATTGAACCCGTGTCCTTGCGCTTGCCAGGCAGGTGCTTAGACAGCTGAGCCATCTCGCTAGCCCAGAAGCAGTTCTTCAAGTCCTCTTTGGTGAGTGTCTTTGTGAGGTAGGGTCACAATGACAGTGAATGCTGTGAGTGCCACCGCACAGAAAGACGGGCAGGTACTCCGGGGCGTGCTCTGCGCTGTTCAGTGGCTCTGGCAAAGCGCAATCTCTGGTTCTTCCCCAAGCCAAAATAACACAGAAGGTAAATACTTTGTATTGATTCAGGATCTCTAGAGCACAACTGGACACTCTCGCAAAAGGCCTTCCAGAAAACAGTAAGAATGATGGAATAGGTGTGTTTGGAGCAAGGGGGATTAATGTCACCTGTTTTTCCACTGCAATAAATTAAACTCTGGCATTCACCAGATTTCTGGTCTTACCACATATACCCAGAACTATCCACATGTCCTTTCTTTCTGGAAGTACTGTGGCCTAGGAACAAGGATTTTTTTGTGAAGTTTTTACAGGCCAGATTTCCTATTGAGAATGCACTGAGGATTTGATGGCTGATGTGGAGTAAAGCCACTTATGCAGAGAAATGGCCAGAGTGTACCAAGGTTGGGGTGGGGTGGAAGCGCTCAGGCATTATGGGGTCTGGAAAGGGAGCGACGGCTCACGGGGCTTGTTTGCTTTCTCTTCAGTGAAAAGGCACTGAGAGTAACAGGGAGTCCACACGCTCAGGCGGCTTCCAGGAGGCTTGCCTAGCTAATGTGGTCACGGCTCCTGGCCGCGCGGATAATCATTACTGATCTCACCTCCTTAGGAGGATGCACCTCCACCTTTGATCCCCAGCCTCCAACCCAACAGCTTCCCATGGAGACCTGCAAGTTCTGAGTTTCCAGGCTCCGCCTTAAAATATGCGAATAAAGTAGCGACACTTAAAATATGTATGTCCAGAAAATTAGGGGTCAGTTGTTACTGTTTACCTCACTGGCCTTGTTGTGTGAGACCGCAAGTGGTGCGAGTGAATTCATGGCAAGACGGAGACAGAAGACGTCTGAGTTGGCGCCATACGATTGCCTACTCCAGGCAGTGTGTGACTGGAGAACTGTACCTGCTTTCGAAGCAAGTACAGAAGGGCATCAGAAGAGGCAAATGAAGTAAATAACGTGTCTTCCCTTCCTCAGGAGCTGTAACTTCCTTCCGCTGCTCCGTTACGCAAGTCCCCTGAAGTGCTCCCTAAGCCTTTGCATGACTGATTAGCCCCACTGCTACTGACCCTGAAGTCCCCACAGCAATTCCATTCTCCAAAGACTCCCTGGGTAGACTGCCCCCCCCAGGCCATGTGCGCCCCTAGCAGCCTTATCTCTATAACACACCACCCGATATTATATGTAAATATCTTACTGTCTGTTTCCCAGCTTACTGTGTACTCTGTAAGGATCCTCTTACCCTCAACACCTAGGGATATTGT